CCTGTCAGCATTATAAGAGGATCTCACTGGCAAAAAATGAGCTGTCTTGGTAAGTCGATACACTATCACCCAAACCAAATCATAGCCTCCGGGTGTTTTTGGCAGTCCTACCATAAAGTCCATGGTAATTCTTTCCCATTTCCATTCTAGTTTCGGTAGTTGTTGCAGCAACCCAGAAGGTCTTTGATGCTCTACTTTTACTTGTTGATAAGCAAGACATTTGAACACAAATTCTGCCACATCTTTCTTCATTCCAGCCCACCAATAATTTTGCTTCAAATCCCAGTACATTTTAGTAGTACCTGGATGCACGTTATAAGCGGTATAGTGGGCTTCATTTAAGATCTCCTTTCTAAGGTTATCAACATCGGGTACACAAAGGCAAGTACCATTTCTGAGTAGCCCATCACCGTCTATCACAAAGTTCCCTGACCCACTAGTAATTACTTCTTGCACAATTCTCTGTAATTACGGGTCTCTATCTTGTGCAGCTTTGATTCTATCAAATAACATTAGTTTAATTCTAAAATGGGCCAACAAATAATCTGAAGTAGGCATTTCCAATTCAAGGCCTTTATCAAGCATTTCACCCAATTCCCGAATTAACGGTCTTCTCTCCATTGAAATGTGAGTTAAGCTTCCCAAAGATTTTCAACTTAGAGCATCGACCACTACATTAGCTTTCCCAGCATGATACTGAATGGTACAATCACAATCCTTAAGGAACTCCATCCAGTGCCTCTGTCTCAAATTTAGATCTCTCTGATAAAAAATATACTTCAAACTTTTATGATCAATAAAGATCTCACAGGATACACCATATAAGTAGTGTCTCATGATTGCTGCCGTTTCCAAATCATGAGTGGGATAATTCTACTCATGCTTTTTCAATTGTCTAAGCATAGGCAATAACCCGACCATGCTGTATTAAAATGCAACCCAACCCCACTCTGGATGCATCACAAAACACAACATACCCTTCATTGCCTGATGGTAAGGTTAACACCGGAGCAGTGGTCAAGCACTCTTTGAGCCTCTAGAAACTTGCTTCAATCACAAAACACAACATACCCTTCATTGCCTGATGGTAAGGTTAACACCGGAGCAGTGGTCAAGCACTCTTTGAGCCTCTAGAAACTTGCTTCACGAGAATCAGATCATATGAACTTGGCGTTCTTCTAGGTTAGTCTTGTTAATGGAGCTGCTATTCTAGAAAAATATTGAACAAAATGACGGTAATAGCCAGCTAAACCCAAGAAGCTACGAACTTCTGTGACCGTAGTCGGTCTAGGCCAATTGATAACTGGTTCCACTTTCTTAGGATTAACCATGATTCCATCCTTACATACAACATGACCAAATAAATTCACGCTTTCTAACTAGAATTCACATTTAGAAAACTTGGTGATTAACCGATGCTCCCTCAGAGTTTGTAGCACAATCCTCAGATGGTGCATATGTTCTTCTTTAGTTCTAGAATAAACTAGAATGTCATCGATGAACACGATCACAAACTGATCCAGGTAAGGCTTGATGCATCAGATCCATAAAAGTCGCTGGAGCATTGGTGAGTCCGAATGACATAACCAGGAATTCATAATGACCATATCTGGTTCTGAAAGCCGTTTGAAGAATGTCTTGCTCTCTGATCTTCAATTGATGATAACCAGATCTAAGGTCGATTTTTGAGAAATAAGTAGCTCCTTGCAACTGATCGAACAGATCATCAATCCTATGAAGCCTATACTTATTTTTCACTGTCACCTTGTTCAAATGCCTATAATCGATACATAGGCAGAGAGAGCCATCTTTCTTCTTCACAAAAAGGACCGGGGCACCCCAAGGTGAAGTGCTTGGTCGGATAAAGCCTTTCTCTAGCAATTCCTACAACTACTCCTTAAGCTCTTTTAATTCTGCAGGTGCCATCCTATAAGGTGGCATAGATATAGGCTCTGTATTAGGAAGTAGATCAATCAGAATTCAATTTCTCGATATGAAGGGACATCGGGTAATTCCTCTGAAAACACATCCAAGAACTCATTCACAATCAGCACCTTTTCAACTTTATGGGTCTCCGCTGTAGTGTCCTTTACCAGTGCTAGATGCCCTTGACAGCCTCTTTCCAGCATCTTCCTAACGCTTATTGCAGAAATCAACTTATAAGGAGCTATGTTTTTATCCACCCTATAAATAAGCTTCTTACCATCTGGTAGATTAAAAGCGATTTCTTTCTTTTCACAATGCACCTCTGCATCATATAAGGTGGCATAGATATAGGCTCTGTACTAGGAAGTAGATCAATGCAGAATTCAATTTCTCGATATGGAGGGAGACCGGGTAATTCCTCTGAAAACACATCCAAGAACTCATTCACAATCAGCACCTTTTCAACTTTATGGGTCTCCGCTGTAGTGTCCTTTACCAGTGCTAGATGCCCTTGACAGCCTCTTTCCAGCATCTTCGTAGCGCTTATTGCAGAAATCAAATTGTAAGGAACTATGTTTTTATCCAACCTGTAAATAAGCTTCTTACCATCTGGTAAATTAAAAGCAATTTCTTTCTTTTTACAATGCACCTCTACATCATACCTCGACAACCAATCCATACCCAGTATAACATAAAAGTCAATTACATCCAAGATAATTAAATTCGCAGGTAAGTCTCTACCCTCAAGAATAATAGGGCCCTAAAATGACAACATTAGTGTAGACAGGTTCACTTAAGGGCATTGATATCAATAAAGGAAAGTTTAATTGACTCTATCTACTTTAGTGGCAAACCCAGGAGATATAAATGAATGGGTGGCACCAGGATCAAATAAAACTCGTGCCTTAAAAGAACAAATAGTGAGAATACCTGCCACCACGGCATTGGAAGCTTGAGCATCCCCCTGGGTCAAGTGGAAAAGTCGAGGTTGTCCTCCTGTAGCTTGTGAAGTTTGTCCGGAACTCTAGCCTCTGCCTCTACCAAAAAAACTACGGCCCTGCTGGCCTGCAAATCTAAAACCTGATGTAGAAGGTGTGGCAAAGGGGGTCTAGAGACACTACCCATAGAAGACTGGGATGGCATATGTCGTAGCTGAGGAAGTGGGCAGTCTCTAACATAATGCCCAATCTGGTGACATCTAAAGCAGGTGTTAGCATCAAAAATACATCTTCCTTTATGAACTTTACCACATCTGTGATAAACAATCCCACTAGATCTGCTACTGTTAGAACTATACCCACTACTAGAACCACCAGTATAAATACCGCTTATCGACCCAAGTTTCTCCTTATCTTTCTTCCTACCAAGGTTTCCTCTTCCTAGAAACTGAAAACCTGGAGACTATGTACCTATAGTAAAAGATCCATTCATCCCTGACACACCAAGATTCCCAAGTGGAGCCGCAGTTCTGTTACCTCTTCTGCCTACAATCACCCCGTCAGAAATGTACTTGGTCTCCATTTGCCTAGCTGAATCAATCATAGCACTAAATCTAGCTCCCTCTACTGAAATAGAGTAGAATATATTGCATTTAGCCTACTAATAAACCTATATATCTTAGTGCCTTCATCTGGTATGGATTTTGGAGCATATCTACTCAACTCAATAAATCTGGTGGCGTACTCATCAACAGACATATCTCCCGAAATAGAGTAGAAATATATTGCATTTAGCCTACTAATAAAACCTCCTATATATCTTAGTGCCTTCATCTGGTATGGATTTTGGAGCATATCTACTCAACTCAATAAATCTGGTGGCGTACTCATCAACAGACATATCTCCCTGAACCAAGGACTCAAATTCTCTCATTTTGGCTCTCCTAGTCCCTTCCAGTACAAAGCGATTCATGAAAAGAGTAGAAAACTACTGCCAAGACATCCCGATAATGAAAGGCAGAACATAGTCCCTAAGCCATATTTCAGCCACACCCTCCATTCTACAGCCCGCAAATACAATGGACCTCTCCTCGTCGCATCCTAACTCAACATAGAACTCCTTGATTCTAACTAAAAAGGAATAAGCATCCTCAGTTCCTGTGAACTTGGGTGGCTTATACCGAATAAATCTGTCATAAAGAGTGTCATTAGTGGCCCTCAGAAAATTAAGATGTGGAGCCGGCTGAAACGGTTGTGTTGTCAGTTCGGGCATAGGAGGATGAATCTGCTACTGCTGAGCTTGAAAGAACTGCTGTTGTTGCATCAATATGTTATTCATAGCAGCTATAGCTTACTGAAGTCCGGTCATCAATATGTTTACTTCCGAGGGCTTTCTAACTGTGTATTCCTCATTTAGATTTTCCTGAACTCCTTCCTTTTGATTAGTTACATTTGTAGCAGGTCTACCCCTTTGTCATCGAGCTGGGCCTGGATGCCTGGAAGAAACCTCATCTGGAGCCTCTCGCTCCGCATTATTAGATGTTTTTCTCCTAGTATTCACAATGCTAAAATTCAAAGCATAAAACAAAATTTATCAATAACATAACAAGTCCTATCCTACTAACATCAATTATATCCTTAGTCTAATTCTAATAATATGACTCTAATATTACTAATAATAATACTCTAAAGGCGATCACACTGGCAATTTAAAGAGCCAAGGTAAACTCCATCAAGTCATGACTATAAATAACTCTGCAATTACTTCCTAGAGATTATAAACCAGAGATTTGATACTCAACTTGTCATTTAAGAGGCAAGGTAAAACTACATCAAGTCATGACATAAATAACTCTGCAATTACTTCTAGAATTATAAACCTAAGATTTGATACCAACTTTGTCAAGGCCCATTTCCATGGGGTGAACCGGCACTAGAGCCTAGGTAAGTTTAAGGCCCCCGAGACTCATAGTAAGCCTAAACTACCAAACCCAACATGCCACACAAAAATCTTAGGATCAGTAAGCCCATAGAAATTTGTATATATCTAATAATCATACAATCCTGGCCCAATCTCAAAATATCTCGAGTAAAACATAGTTCGAGCCTAATAATAATACATCTCATTCATAATATGGGCTACTGATTCATATGTATTTAAATAAACAATAAGAACATTCATAGGTTAGCACACATGTTTAAAGACCAGGTTAGATATATGCAAATCCTTCAACTGCGAGTTCAATAATAGTATGATTTAAAGTAATGAACTTATACGTATTACAATACACAAATTAACTAATTGCATAAATTAGAAATTTACTTTTATAGCCCTGTGGAGAAGATTGTAGAGCTTTAGTAAGTCGACAAGCTTCTATTTCCTGACAAGTTAAGTAAAAGAAAAGTGAGTTTTACAACTCAGTGAATAATAATAAATAATACATAACACAAGCATTCACGCAAAATGCATCCTAAGAGACTAAAGTGAACACACAACCAGTCAAGCATATGGCACAACATCAGCACTCACAAGTAATTTCACCTTCAAATAACCAAGCAAGTGAAAATTAGTCAATGGCGCCATCGAAAAACCAATGAGCCGTCCTCTCACATGGCCTGCCCTCTCAAACGTGTGCACCAGAGAGCCGATCTCCCATACCTGGCCGACTGGTCTGATTCTCACTTGACCAGCCCTCCCCCATATTTTACTTTTTATATACTCTCTTTTTTTTTCATATCAACAGGCAGCCACCTCGTGGTTTTTCCATATCATATAACATTAGGTGCACATGAGGGCACTGATCTCCCCATACACGGCTGACAGTATCGCAAACCGCCCTCACAAAACTATGGTGGCCCACTTCATCCCAATTCTACATAAACAAAGCATAGCAAATTCACAGCACAAGTAGTCAAGCAATTCATTCAATGTAATGCACCAAATCAATCTTTAATGCGCAACATAACAGTATAATTATTATATACTAGTATTAGCATAATACAAATATGATACAAGTGTATATAATAATATATTAACAATAATTTAATAATATAAAAGGAATATTAAATTATCATTTATATATATAATATAAGGTATATGATATGGGTATGCAATAATGGTATGCTCTATTCATTATTACTCACAGTGGTAGAAGAAAGAAGAAGCTCTAACTCGGATTCTAACTAGAAGGAGCAGTAGATAGGGACGACCAATCTAAAGAATTTAAAAATAAAAGGAAAGAATTATATCAGACAAGGACTAATTTAAATAAATAATTAAGGAATTAATCTAATAACTATTTACGTATCTATCTACTATAACTAGACTAATTTCCATTGAAATTTTGACAGCATCTCTCCTAAAATTTGGACTATACACCTGTTAAAATATCAACAATTCCATTAAATTTTAACTCAATCCACACTGTCATCCGTCGGGCAATCAATCAAGTCAAGTTTCCATCCTACTTTAACCTCAACATCACCACACCCATAATTTATAAATTAAAATTACATTCAATCTAATTTACCTTAAATCCACACTTAAATTCCATTGATATTATTATTATCAAAGTTCCTCAATTAAATTTATTTGGTGCTAACTTAAATTAGCCATAATTAATTAAAGTCCTCTAATTAAATCAACACATTACACCACATTAGTCAATACTCAAAATTAAATTAAATTAATTAGCCATAAAATGCTAGAAATTAATTAAATTTCTGGAAAATAACTTAGTCTTAATACCCAAAACTCAATGTCGCCGAAAATTACTTGGCTGAAGTTTATGGCGAAAGTGGTTGTGTTTGCCGGAATAGTGAGAGAGAGCAAACGAACCGCTGTGTCGGCTGAAACAGAGGAGTCGTTAGTTGCCAGAGCTACAAAGCTCACTGAGGTCACGGCGAGGAGGCGCGACGTCGAGCGGTGGCGATTGGTGGTGCTGTTGCTTGCCTAAACGAAAACAGAGGGAAGCGACCAAGAAGCAGTGGCGCGTGATCGAGCTGAGGAAGAGAGGAAGTGACTAGCGGCGCGATGGCGTGGGTGGCGCAATGAAGGCTCGTTGAGCGCATTTTTAGTGGCTGGAGTCGCGACTACTTCGATTTAGGTGAGGTCGTGGCTCCATTGTGGCCCTTGCAGTCACCAAAAACGGAAACAAAGAGAGAGGGAGAGAGACGATAGTAGGGAACGGTGGCGCAAGTGGGTCGCTGGTGACTGAAAAAATGCAAAACAGGGGGGGGGGAGGAGATAAGGTTGCACGGGAAAATATGGGGAGAAGGGACAGTTCTAGAAGGTGTTTGGGTAGATTTGGGCTAATTTGGTTTGATTTGGGTTTGGTTCAGTTCAAATCATGATTTTTGTGTGATTTTCGATTTCCAATTGGTCTTTTATTCGGGCTTTCAATTAATTGTTGGGTCAATTCAACTATATAAATTATATATATGCATTTAACTGGTTAAATAAATTTTTAGGGTGTTAATTTATTAAAATTTTAAATGAAAAATTTTGAAAATAAAAATTTGAGTTGTTTTAGTTATGGGCTAAAATCCCAAAATAGTTCTGACATAAAATTCAGCTCAAGTCTGACTTTGTAATGTGAATTTATTGCTGCTTTTGACTCACAAAACATTTCTATTTTACTTTTAGCCCTTCATGAAAATTGTAGATATAAGTCTTAGTTTTTCAATGGCTCTTGTAGCACATCATTTGGACATATACAACTCCAGAAAATTCTAAATTACAAAGTAAAGGTCGAAATTACGTAAATGCTAAAAATTATTCAAATTAAAGCATCTATATACAAAATTAGATATAAAGTTGTAGCAAAATAGTAAGTGTAATTAGAAAAAATTATATAATATATACTCTGATTAATAGACAAAGGTTAAAATTAATATGGAAAAATAAGTATACACTATTGATTGATAAAATTAAAAATATTGGCTAAAATTGACAAAATGGTCAAAATTAAGCCTTTTTTTTTTTGTCATTTGGCCTTTATTGTATTATATAAATCTATAGTTCAATCTTAAGTAATAATGTTTTGTTTTAATTTTCTTTATATGTTTCAAGTTGAATATATATTAATGATATTTCAAATGCTAAAAATTTTGGAACATGTAAGTTGTATTGAACCAAAGTGATAAGATTAAAGTTAATTAGTTATTTTTAAATATGTATACAGCTGTAGGTTAGCTTTATCATTTGTAAACAACTTATGCTTATCTGATGTAACTGTAAACATGTATATATATGCTGATTGAGATGAATGAAATATATAAGTTAACAGCCATCTTCTATGACTACATTTTATGGTATCAGAGCCGAAGACCCACTGGTTTTCGTTTTCCCTTCTAAAATTTTTTGTTCAAATCTGACTTTAGTCTTGTTTCAATGGCCTCTCCATCTAATCTTCCAAATATTACTCACTCCTCTGGAAGAACTCTTATTTCTTTTAATGCGACTGAGTTTCCATTGAAATTGACGCAGCAGAACTATGCTGCTTGGCGTGCCCAAGTTGTCCCTATTCTTAAAGGGCATAATCTAATGGGATACGTTAATCGATCCCTTAAATGTCCATCTCCGATTGTTCGTACTAATGATAAAGATGAAGTTAATAAAGACCATGAGGTTTGGATTTGTCAAGACCAACTCATCTTGGCTGCCATTATTGCAGCAACAAGCTTCTCTGCAATGCATATTGTTTCTTCAGCCGAGTCTTCTGCTGATGCTTAGGAAAAAATTCAGAAATCTTGTGCCAATAAATCAGCTACAAGGATTCTTTCTCTCAAAGACAAGCTGGCCAATTTTAAAAGAGAATCTCATTCTATTTTTGAGTATTTGCAAATGGTTAACGCAATTTCAGAAGATTTAGCACTATCTGGACATCCAATTTTAGATGTTGATCTGGTAATCCATGTTCTAAATGGTGTGGGCCTTGAATACCGTGATATTGCAGCAGCTGTTGAAGCTCGTGATACTGTTATTTCCTTTGAAGAGCTGTAGGACAAACTCCAAGCTCACGAGCTGTATCTTAAAACGGTCGATCCTTCGTTTGATTCCTCACCTATTACAGCTAATGTTGCATGGAAAGGAACACATTTTCGATAAAGTTCTAGAGGTCAAAATCAAGGGATTTTGATTGAGAACATTAACTATGGAGGCAATCGGAATTCTTCTGAAAATGTAACACGGTATCGCAGGGGTTCTGGTGGCTCTCGTGTAGTTTGCCAGATCTGTGAAAGACCTGGGCATTTAGCTAAACAATGCTTCGGTGCTAAGGATTATTTCAAAGATAACTTTCCTACGCCACGAGCTCATCATGCTGCTACTCTAGAGCCTCAGAATTGGATTCTTGATACCGGTGCCGTGCATCATGTAACCAATGATTTGCAGAACCTGGCCTTACATGCTCCCAATGAAGGTTTGGATGAGCTACACCTTACTGATGGTACTGGTTTACGAATTACTCATGTTGGTTCACAATAAATTTCTTTTCCATTCAAAAACTGTTCCCTTGCTAATGTTTTATGTGTTCCCAGTGCAAAAGAAAATTTAATTTCAGTCTCTGCTTTCTGTCTTGCTAATAACATCTCTATTGAATTCTTCTTTGATTGTTTTATTGTTAAGGACCTGTTCACGGGGGAGATACTCACAAAGGGGCAAATTAAAAATTCCCTTTATCGTCTTTCCTCAATCACGAAAACTTGGTCTCCTGTTGCTCATTCGTCTGTTCGTGGGTCGTCGTTTGTCTGGCATCAACGCCTTGGTCATCCTGCTCCAAGAGTTTGTCATTATGTTTTGTCTAAATTTAGTTTATCCGACTCATTTGCCAGTTTTCATTGCAATTCGTGTTCTTGTAATAAGAGTCATAGACTCGCTTTTGGTGTCTCTTCACTTTGTAGTACTCGTCCTCTTGAATTATTGTACTCTAATTTTTGGGGCCCTGCTCCTATTAAGTCGATCGTTGGATTCAGTTATTATTTAATATTGGTTGATCATTATACTAAGTACATATGGTTTTATCCATTGAAAGTAAAGTCTGATGTGGCTAATGTTTTTCCCGTTTTTCAAAGCTTAGTTGAGAATATGTTCAAAACCAGAATTGTCTCTGTATACACAGATGGAGGTGGTGAGTTTATTGGTTTAAAAACCATATTTCAAAAGAGTGGAATTAGTCATCTTCAGACACCACTGTATACACAGATGGAGGTGGTGAGTTTATTGGTTTAAAAACCATATTTCAAAAGAGTGGAATTAGTCATCTTCAGACACCACCTCACACACCGCAACATAATGGAGCTGCAGAGAGGCGTCATCGTCATTTGGTAGAAACAGGTCTTACACTACTTCAATCTGCAGCTTTACCATTTAAGTTTTGGACATATGCTTTTCAAGCAGCCAATTATCTCATAAATAGACTACCAACACTAGTACTTAATATGTCCTCACCGTTTCAGCAGTTATTTAATCAGCAACCCAATTATAATAAGCTTAAAATTTTCGGTTGCCTGTGTTATCCTTTTCTGCGGCCATACACTCAATAAGTTTGAAGCAAAGTCCAAACCATGTATTTTTGTAGGCTATTCTTTGAGCCAAAGCGCATATTTGTGTTATGAACCCTATTTGTGTTATGAACCCCAAAATCAGAAGGTGTATGTGTCTAGGCATGTGATTTTTTGTGGAAAATCAATTCCCAGGTGTGAAATTGTGGAAGAAAGAACAGAGTGCTGCTGTATGGTATGATTTAAATGAGGACTTTGGAGTAGGGGATGAAACGGTGTCGTTTGCACCTAATCCAATTAGTCCAAACATAGGCAATTAGGAAATTGTGTTGAGTCCATCGAATGATTTGATTCTTTCCCCTTTTCATTATAGGGTTCAGTCGATTACTCCCATCGTCGACTTGTCCAATTCAGCTGTCGATCCCACTGTTTTACCGAGTTCTTCATCGAGTCAGTCTGAATCATCTTCTCAGCGTTCTGTTTCAGTCGACTTGTCTCAGTCTAGGTCCGTTCGTGTTTCAGGCTCTGCGTCTTCTTCAACTTCAGGTACTGAGTCTTCTTCTATTTCTGCTCTAGTTCAAAGTGTTCAAAATATTCGTACTCATCCTATGGTAACTAGGTCTCAGAATAATATTTTTAAGCTAAAAGTTATTAATTTTGTTACCATACATCTTATGCCTCCTTCCATTGAACCAACATGTGTATCACATGCTTTGAAAACTCCAGAATGGAGAAAGGCCATGTCTAATGAATTTGATGCTTTAATGGCTAATGGCACTTGGGAGCTTGTTCCTTCTTGCAGTGGTCAGAACTTGGTGGGTTGCAAGTGGTTGCAGTGGTCAGAACTTGGTGGGTTGCAAGTGGATATTTCGGGTGAAAAGAAATGCAGATGGCTCCATTGCAAAGTATAAAGCGCGTCTAGTAGCTAAAGGATATAATCAGAGACCAGGTGTGGATTTTGGGGATACTTTCAGTCCGGTATTAAAGCTTGCGACAATTCGAATAGTTCTCACCTTGGTTGTTTCGAATAGATGGAACATTTGTCAGTTGGACGTCAACAATGCATTTTTTCATGGTCCACTGCAAGAGCAAGTATTTATGCAACAACCTCCTGGATTTGTGGATTCTGAAAAACCCACTTATGTGTGTAAACTGGTAAAAGCATTATATGGCCTTCGTCAAGCTCCACGTGTGTGGTATAAAGCTCTGCGTGATTGTGCACTCGAGTTTGGTTTTGACCAGTTCAAAAGTGATCATTCACTTTTCATCTATAAACAGGGCAGTATTACTTGTTTTTTTCTTGTGTATGTGGATGACTTATTGCTTACTGGGAATTATAATAAGTTTATAACGCCATTCATAGCCAGGCTGTCTTCAAAGTTTTTACTAAAAGATCCGCAGCAGTTGAGTTTATTCTTGGGAATAGATATTCAGCATACCAAGAGAGGTCTGTTTATGTCCCAACATCATTATGTTCAAAATTTATTGGCTGTGTCGGGTATGGATGGAGCAAAACCTATTTCTATACCATTTGCAACATCAACACATTTGGTGAAGAATGGATCCAAATCTTTGGAAGTTAATCCTACTGAATTTCGAAAAATAGTTGGAGTACTACAGTATTTAACCTGGACTAGGCTAGACATTTGCTTTTCTATCAATAGATTGTCTCAATTCATGCAAAGTTCGATTGCTCAGCACTGGGATGCACTCAAACGGCTATTAAGATATCTGAAGTGTACAATCGATTATGGTATTATGATCACGGCACAATCTTCT